GGGTGTATGTTGGTGTGTAAGTGAGTGAAAGAATAGGCTGGCATATGTATGTGGTTGTGTGTGTGCGTGTGCTAGTGTGCCCATGCATTTTACCACCCATGCTTTTGCTTTTTTCTGGGTATTCATAATATGCATATTATTATATGAATATAACATGCTTTACTGATAAAATACAACTGCTGTGTGAAAGGTGGGTGTTTGAAAGGGCTGAATGTAAGACGGGCCTGCGTGCCCAATTTGTAATCCTTCGAAAACAAAGTTTGTTTATTCAATCTCTCGCTCTCTCTTTCTCTCTCTCTCTCTCTCTCTCTCTCTCTCTCTCTCTCTCTCTCTCTCTCTCTCTCTCTCTCTCTCTCTCTCTCTCTCTCTCTCTCTCTCTCTCTCTCTCTCTCTCTTTCTATGGAAGGCAATTAACACACTGACAAACAAAAACACTTCAACACGTGTGGTAACATCTAATATAACATCTCATGATTTAAGCAATTACTTTCAGGATGACATAGAGCAGATAAAGGCTACAATACCGAGCTATCCATGTGATTTATGCATACTGTCAACATTTTGTGAGAATAAATGCTCCAGAGATTTCCCCACTGACATACCTCTGATGTCAGTCAATGACGTTTTAGATATCTGGCTAATCTTAAAATCAGTAATGCATCAGGTCTAGATGGTGTAAGCAATAGGATCCTTCATTGTACTGCATCAGTTATCTGCACGTCATTAACCTTCATTTACAACCAGTGCATCACCAAAGGTTACTTTCCACCAGCCTTTAAAATTGCCAAAGTCTTTCCTCATCTTAAATCTAGATCATTAGACAGTAGTATTCCTAGTAGCTATAGACCTGTCTCTCTGCTATCATCCCTATCAAAACCACTAGAAAAACACATTCACAAAATAATACTCCAACATTTAGATCACAACAAACTTATTGTTGACAACCAGACAGGGTTTCGACCAAAATATTCTTGTCATACTGCCTTAACAAATATGATAGAAAACTGGCATCAGAATATTAACGAAGATAAGATTTGTGGTGAAGTGTTTATAGACTTTAAAAAGGCCTCTAACATGATAGACCACACTGTTCTTATCAGAAAGCTGGTAACAATGAAAGTGAGTTGCAACCTATTAACATTACTAACATCTTTTTTATTAAATAGAAAACAAGTTGTTTCACATAATAAATATATATCACAGACTACTACTTTAAATACTGTTCCTCAGGGTTCTATTCTTGGCCCCCTTCTATTTGCAATTTACATAAATGATCTGCCCTTGAGTCTGTCGTCGTCATGTGATTTATTCACTGATGACTGTACTATCTATTAAAATGCTCGAACGTTTAATATACTAGAGTTTTCTTTGCAACAAGAATTAAACAATGTAGTTAGTTGGAGCTCCGCAAACCGCATGCAAATCAATATAAGTAAGACAAAATATATGTTAATAACAAGACAAAAAGTGTGCACTTTAAACTCTCATAGAACCCTTCAACTCTACCTAGGTAACACATCAGTAGAAAGTGTAACTGAGCACAAAACTTTAGGCCTGATCACTGATGGAAATCTTACCTTCAACTCCCATGCGCAAACACTTGTTAAGCAAACTGCTACAAAGGTATACCAACTAGCAAAAATTAAAAACTTTCTGGATGAAAACACTAGGAAATTATTCTACACTTCTCATATTCAGACCCACATAGACTATTGCTCCACAATATGGGATGGATGTGCAAATTCAGTCATCAAACGACTGAAAGCACTACACAGAAGGGCTGTTCGTTTAATAGCTAATAGTCATGGAAGTGACTGTTTGCACCTATCTATATAAAGAACTTATGTTATTACCGCTCCAGGATCGCCTACTTTTCAATAAAGCTAAACTTATTCATAAAATAATATCTAAAAATGCTCCATGCTACCTTTGGCCATTATTTAAATACAATAGAAGACATAGCAAATGCCTTAACATATTGCATTTCTCTAAACCTAGAATAGACCTATACAAAACAAGCTTAGCGTACTCTGCAGCTCAGTTGTGGAATAATCTTCCACAGGAAATAAAAAATATAAATAACCCCTATAGATACAATCGGTGGCGCAGTGATTTAGGTCATAGGCATGAGAGAAAGTTAAGTCCAACATGATGTGTATAAGGAGATACTCCGTACGTCACTCGGGTGCCAGTCCTTCACTGTTCTGGTTTTACGGAACCTCACGCAAGACCCCTGCAGCCACGGATAATGTCTCAAATGAGCATTAACAGAGCTGTCAGGGGATCTTGCAGTTGGCGGCCCCCAGAGGTGCAGTGTCCTTGTGGCTCTCATCAGCCCGCCCCCCAAACGCATGGGTGAAAAATGTTATCAAAACTCATTAGGAACATGAGTAAAGTGCTTGCCAAATGTACAACTAAAATTACAACCCTTGGTTAAAAGATTGTGGAGTGAAGAGAACATTGTTCTGCTGAGACTCAACCATTGACCTAAAGATTTACCCGCAGCACAGACGAGTAACATCTCCTGGGGGTATCGTCTCGCAGCAAGATTCTACTCATGTACAATCCTCTGTTAACCCTCAGTGTCGTCGTCACCGCGCTGAGGTACACCACAATAGCAACAGCCCCCTGGCTGGCTAAGCCTAAATGTCCGACAAAACTAGATCCTACAGCACACGAGTAAGCTTAAAATCTGACCATCACAAATCGTATTGAATGGGAAAAAGTCCAAATGTCCACACCCAAAGACCCCACTCGCCCGAGTGCTGGGACCAAACAGATAACGATATGCCTGACGCAGGATGTTAAATTCTGTCGTGCTAACGGCTCGTCAAAGATATCTAACGTGCGAAGAAAAAGAATGAACCTATTCGTGTGGTCACAAAAGTCCAGAACCCGCAGGCTGCTCCCCGCTGATCTCCGGAGGGGCAGCCCTTGTCGAGCGGGAGGCCTTATACGGTTGTGAGGTTAAGCAGTTATGTGCAGGACGTGACGATTCCTTGGGTGAGCCCAGAACCAGAGCGCCATGTGCCGGCTCTGCATACATGGAAGCCTCCTTGGATGGCGGGGAATGTCCATGATCTGCCCTTGCCTTCCCTTGAGGGCTAACAGTTCCACAAGGGGCTGCCCCAAAGGGGTACTCCGGGGGCAACACCTGCGGAGAAGGCGACATAGAGGACACCACACAAATCAGGCAACGTCTCGACCCACACACAAAAAATGGCCACAGTCATCCTAGAAATAGGCCTGACGTCTTCCCTCGAAGTCGGAGTACATCTGCCCGCGAGGCAGGGAACAACAAAATGGTTGTACACGCAAAACTCAGGTCCAGGTAAAAGCCAAAAGTCCAAACGGACGATTAACTGGGACCTTCCGCCGGAATTCACAGCCGGTGAACGAAAAAGAAGAAGAAGATACAATCGGAAACTATTTGATAATTATCTCACTACAGACCATATGCCCCCTTAAAAGATTATAGTATGTTAAGGCTATGATGTATTTCCATGAGATGTCCTAATAATTGTTTTTATATTATTTTTTTTATATTATATTTTTTTATATTATGCAACCTGTAAGACTTACATCATTTTTGGAATATGCTTATTTTTATACTCTTTAAATCAGAGCACATTCCAGCATGTGTTTTTTGTTTTTTTTATATTTCTTAAATTTTTAATTTTGCATTTCTCTTTTTATTATTATTATTATTATTATTATTATTATTAATATTATTGTTATTATTATTAACTATGAAATGAGGTACAAATGAAAAATTGTATGAAAGGAGCGGAGTGGAAGGGCAGAATGTTAGACTGGCCTGCGTGCCCAATTCTTAACCCTTTGAAAATAAAGTTTGTTTGTTCGTTCGTTCGTTCGTTCCCCCCCCCCCCCCCCCCCCCCCCCCCGCCGCCACATAATGCACACACACACACAGACCTTTAAGAAGCTTGACAACATAGCAGGCATTATGTTAATACTGCTTATAACAGTGGTACGTTGGACATTGTTTTCTGTTTGTTCGTTTGTTTGTTTATTAACCATTTTTTTTAAATACATCCGCAATGACTGAGTTATAATAATGAGTTTATGCACAGATATTGTAGGGAGCGGGTGTCAAGAACTCCAGCTTCCCCAGCTTGGTGCTCACAAAGTGGACTTTCCTGGGCGGGGCAGGCACTCTTTCAGAACTGACTCTGATCCCCTTTTCTTGGCCCCTTGCTTCAGGGCTTCATTCTGCTTGACCCCTTCAAGAAGTCCAGTTGGCAACTATTCTGCTAGATGTTTTGGATTGTCACGTTGATCTTCTTGGGGATGCTGCGGTTTATGACTAGTCTAGTGACTTTAACCCCGACAATGTGTGGGGTCACACTGAACACACAGCCAGGTTCCCATGGTTGAACTTGTGTGCTACGCCTTTCTGGATGGCACTATCACCTGTGATATCAACAATATCCCCACATCTGGCCATTGAACAGGACAGCTTATTCACACCTTTCATTCTCAGGTTAGAGGAAGACATGAAACATACACCGCAATGATAATCTTCAAGGTTCTCATTATTTCATTTTGTCTTACAGCAGGGGCAGACCCCCTTTGTTTATCTGTCTTGTGGACTGACCTCACTTTGTCTTCCAGCAACCAATATGTTTGGACCCAGCCCAGTGTTGCCTACATGCACACAAGTATACACTGACAACACAAACACATTCATACAAATGGCCAAGATGATGTACAAACTCTTCTGAACAGAGAGCACACCTAAGCAGCCCAACCCAATCAGACAACAGGTTAGTTTGTAACTGCTGGGAGCCCCTAAAATAACTGCATCATACAGGTGAACTGTGTTTCTGGAATTTGTACCTGGGGGATTCTCATCAGAGTAGTTTCTGGAGGAGTTCAACTTTGCTTGCTCATAGAAAACACTAGACTATCTGACCCAGAGGTAGACAGACAAAACCAAAGATGTACACGTCGACAACTGACAACAGACAGATCATTACCTCATTGTTCTTTGTGTCCCAGAAGACGATGCAATGTTCCGGTCGGTCTGGTTTGGTGAAAGAGTAGACAACTGTGTTGCTGCAGTAGCCCCACTGTTGACAAATAAAATGTCCTTGTCAAGGATTTCACTCATTCAGTAGCTAGCAACTCACCATTTGTTTGCTTGTTTCTGCTTACCTGAAGCACTTTTCCTCACTGCCTGTGTCCCATCCATCTGTGACGTATGTGATTAGGCACTGCAAACGCGCTACATATTTCTAAGAATCAAGCTGCAAGTCATCTGGCAGCAGACTATTTTGCGCTTATTTTGACAACTGTAGTAACAGCAGACAGTTCAGGAGCAATGGTTAACTTGTGAATGTAAACTTTCCTAGTAAGACAAAACAGTCAAAAACTGCTGTGGTTGATTCTGTAATGTCTTTTGAAGGAAACATAACTAACTTTGTGTCCCATCCTGTTGCTACCCTTACCAACTCTGCTCTCAATGTTACTGTAACTCCTTCTATCTTTATAATGTCAATACATTAAGACCTTTATGCTTTTAAAGTAGCATCTTGTTATTATAGAACAAACATTGTTATTCTTCGTCTTAGACACAACTTTTTAACTGGCAAACAGCGAGTAACGGAGAATGAGAAGCAATAACGAAATACATAATCTGTTTAAATCACCACTGATCACTGGCATCATGATGCTAATAGACTGACATGGCTAGGGCATACTGGGAGAATGTTTGATGACAGAGGTAAAAACTGGGTACCCAAGGGTGTTGAATGGTCGAAAACTACAAGGCAGAACAAGAAAACCATGGAGAGAAAATACCTAGGCAGACCTACAAACACTTGGTGTCACCAAGTGAAAAGAAAGGTTAACCAGAGAGATGAATGGAGGCGGGTGATATCTGCAGCAATGAACCTTTAGGGCTGGGAATGCTGAAGAAGAAAAACCATTTGTGAGGTTATTCATAAAGTTCCCAGAAAAGTCGACTCATGTTTGAATTAGTAACTATGACAGGAAGATTTACTGTTTTACATGATAATAGTGACTCTGACAAAATGACATTTATTTTCGAACACAAGTCAAAGAGTTTGCTTGTGTCCAGTGCATGCAGAATTGACAAGAGTTCAAAATCTCCTTGGCTGAGCAGGGTACAAATGTTTAAAAAAATTAAATTATTTGCTTGAGAGTCCCCCTCAGAGACAGTAAGTTTGCTTAACTTTTTATCAACTGGAAGCCACTTAAGTGGCTTTTGAATCTATTAGATTCAGACTGAAAGCCACTATAACGGCTCTGCATAGAAACACTCTAATATTGTTTCTTTTGCTGGGAAAACGAACTTGTATGAATATGTTTTGAAAAACTAGAATTAGCGAAAGGAAGTCTTTTCATTTTCAAAGTTTGGCATGGTCGCTGGATTAGTTTCTGATTTGTTTTAATTTATTGAGTGTGATAAATTTGTATGTGATTTTTCCAGAGCAAATGATGGGGAAAAGGTCTAAAACTATTCTTACTGTTCTGTTGTTGATAAATCTCAGCCAGATACTGACAACAGTCATGATATTAAGACTGATAATACAAGTGACAAACCTACTGCTGATAATATAGGTTATGATAAAGAGGAACAAAATATTTTAATCAGATCATTCTTGTTTCAATCAGCTGTTTTCCCGATTTTGGTTATAGTGAAATGTGACATGTCATACATAAGTAGTCATAAAATTAAAAGTATTTAAATTCATTGTTTCAAATGAAGACCAGCTGATAGGTAACTAAATAGAGAAGGCGTGTGAGCTCTTAGAATTGTTCTAAAAATTAAGGAAAACACAACATTTCCTATGTAAATAATCCTCATATGTGTCTAACATCCTTGAATGTTGTGTGATTTTTACTAATTTTGTTGCTGTATTACTTACACTCAAATAGTTTTGATTTATTCTGCATTCATTTCTCTTTAATTTAATATATTATGTCTCTTTACAGTAAATACTTTTTCCAGAAAGGTGTTAGCGTTGTCATGGTGCCGTAAATAAATGCAGCTCAAAATTAATGCTGTCTAACCTCATAAATAGTATCTTCCTGAAAAAGTTAATAAAGCATATGGTGAAACTGCAATGATGAAATCACAAGTTTCTGAATGGTAAATGGTGTTCTTTGTATGACCCTCTGAATGGAAATCACCCACACCTCCCTGGACACAGAAACTTAATTTGGTCAAGAGTAAAGGCAAAGCTATGTTGGAAATTGTTTGCTAAAGAAATGTAAGTTGATATCTTTCAATGTCTAAGAAATGTAACAAAACAAAAAAAAAAGTCAGGAGATGTGAACTAGCGTCATTGCACGAGGTTATAAACCATAAGTGCTCTGCCACCAGTACGGACAGCTGATAAGAAACTGTCCGCCTTTGTTGCCATCCGCACAAACTTTGTAGCTACAGCAACGTTCCCTAATTTACCCCAAAGTGTGAACTCTGATACCCATTTGCTAGAGGCTGAATGAACCCCGGGAAATGCCCGGTTTGGAACACCGACCGTGGCTGCAGCGAGTCCCAGATGGATTCGAAAGCGAGCCTCCTATCGACTGCGCTAACGAGGTCTAAGAAATGTAATCAGAAGAAAACATCCTAAAATATGGAGAGAGAAATGTTTGTATCTTCTGCACGACAATGCACTATCACATCAATTCCTACTGGTGAAGCAGTACCTTGCAATGCATAATGTGACTGTCCTGGAACATCCTTAATATTCTCCCAACCTGGCACGGGCTGATTTTTTTCCCTCGCCTAAAACTGGCATTGAGAGGGCGGTGATTCAAGGATATGAGGACTTTATCATCAATACAACAAAGCAGCCGGAAGAGATGTAAAAGCAATTTTAAAGCATGTAAATCCAGGGTGACTGACTTCTTCTTCTTCTTCTTCGCGTTCACCAGCTGTAAACTCTGGCGGAAGGTTCTGGTTGCTCGTCTACTACTGAACTGCAGTCCTGCTCCAGAACCTGAGTGTTGCGTGTGCATCAGTTTTACAGATCTCATTCTCTTGAATACAGACTGTTGGTTCCTTGCCTCTCCGGCAGACGCACTCCGTCTTCAAAGGAAGCTCCCCAATTAGTTGACTCTTACAACATGCTTTTGGGGAGGCAGTGGGTCTATTCTTGTTTTCCCCACAATGGGGCCCCGGAACCCACACAGGGGAGGGTGACTGACAAAGCATGTAGGAGATCTACTGCATCCAACTTTCATTGTGGAGACGACACATAACTGACTACTTGAAAACAGTTCTCATGAGATTTGCCTTTTTGCAGACAGATAGTTTCCTATGTGTAAACAGAAATAAATAACTGAATGTAATCCTGAGTCGATAATATTTAGTCATTACCTTGTAATCCAATCGGATATTAGCGAAATAAATGAAACTGTCAACAGCCAGAGCAATGCGCAGACTTCCTCCCTCCCAGGAACAAGAGTACATTTCCTTGCCTGGAACTTTCAGGGTTCGCAAATGCTGAGAAAATGGCAGAAACAACAGTAATTTAATATTTGCATGCATAAATAAAGAATTAAAAATGGTGGTCTCTGTAGATAAATGTTTAGGCTGTTAAGCATGGGTTCATTTCACTGAACTGCTGTCGTCTAGTTCTACTCTTAGTTCAGGTAAGGTAATCCCAGTTCCAACTTCACACTAAATGGATCAAACCATAGTTGCTCCATTCCTGTGTCAACACAAACCATGCAGAATGACCACCACTGTCATTGTGAAAACACTGACACAGAGTACAGACTCAGCAAAGCCAGTAGCATACACATGCATTAAATGCATAAGGCAGCCATCAGAAGTGCCAATACAAACAATATGACACTAGAAATATAGTTCATCATCAGTGGAAGAAACAGTAGTTGCACAAGCAAAGGTCTGTTTACAGGCCAATTACCCTTAATGGAATCTGCAATTCACAATACAAGCCATATCTGGCACAGTTGAAAATTTTTTTAAATAAAATCTGCAGCTCACAGTGTGGTACCATACACTCAACTCAGTAGCTGGGTGACAGAACTATATCCTTTCATTCTATGTATGAAGAAAAATGCAATGGCTAACTATTGTCATAAGTAAACATTTACCACAACTAAAAACAGTAAACCTGCTTATCTACCATATTGACCAGAAGTCTCAAATTCATGCTCCCATTTTTAGACCCCAGGTTACCTCATATGACATACTTGATATGGTTCATTGTTGCTATTCTTTATTCTAAGGGTTTTAGTAAAACATGGGTCTGTACACATTAAATATAAATGATTACTGGAGAAGAGAGGGATGACCATCAGTATCTCCAAAACTAAAACCATGGTGATCTCAAGAGAGGAGAAGAAACACCAGATCATGATGGGACAGTATGCATTGGAGCAGGTCAACCAGTTCAAATACCTTGGAGTTGTATTAGATCGAAATGGAGGCATTAAGACTGAGCTGGCTAGACGAAAAGCAGCTTCTAGGAAACTCTTCCAGGCCATAAATTGAGGGTTTAGTAGCAAAAGAGAAATTGGCAAGAGGACGAAAATGGCTGTTTACCGCTCTACCTGTGTACTAGTCCTGACCTATGGGTGTGAGTCATGGGCAATGACAACAGCTCACAGAAGCCAGCTTCCATCCTCAGAAATGAGATATCTGAGAAAGGTTGTCCAAGTGACAAGAAAGAACAAAGTCAGTAATCAGACAATACGTCAAGATCTTGATACCCTGTCCTTACAAACCTGAGTGGATCAGAAACAGTTACGATGGTTTGGACATGTATGCAGAATGGAAGAAAATTGGCCACCATGGCAAGCATGGGAGGCTAAGAACCAGGGAACCAGACCTCCAGGGTGACCTAGGGTGCGCTGGGAAGACAACATATGACAGTCCCTAACTGACAGAGGACTGGAATGGAACAAAGCCAGAAAGAAAACGGCTGATAGAGACGTCTGGCGACATCTCTGGCAAACCTCTACACCCCAAGGTAGAAGAGGAGCAACCAAGTAAGTAGATTACCGGAGAATCTTCTCCTTCTTTGTTCACAGCTTGTAAGCTCTGGCAGAATATCCTGGTTGTACGTCCATTTGGACTTTGGCTTTGTGCCAGGGCTTGAGTTTTGTGTGTACATCCACTTTACTGGCTTATTTATGTGCAGTTGTTGTTCCTTGCCACTAGGGCAGATGCCATCTGACTACGAAGGAAGTTCCCAAGAAGTCGACTCCTACAATATGCTTTTTGGGGGCAGTGGGTCTATTCTTGTTTCCCCCACAGTGAGGGCCTGGAACACCCACTGGGATAATGGAGAGCCAAAAGCAACAATGAAATTCATAATCTTGTTTAAATCACCACTAAATACAGGCATTATGAGGGCTTACAGACTGAAAAGACTAGCACATAAAGACAGAATGGCAGACAACAGAGAGATAACTACCAAAAACCAAAAATGAGACCAAAAAGATGGAGAGATAATATACAAGCAGACTAGAATCACTTGGAGTCACTAACTGGAATGAGTAGGACCAATCACAGAGATAAATGGAAGTGGGTGATATCTGCAGAAGAAACCTCAAGAAAATGTTGAAGATGAAGAAGAATATTAGGTAATCAGGTAATCACATTTCCAACTTCATTGCCAACTAGTCACCCCACGGTTCCAACTTCACTGCCAACAAGTCACAGCACAGTTCCAACTTCATTGCCAACAAGTCACACCACAGTTCCAACTTCATTGCCAACAAGTCACACCACAGTTCCAACTTCATTGCCAACAAGACACAGCCCAATTCCAACTTAGAAGCCAACAAGTCACCACAGAGTTCCAACTTCATTGTCAGTAAGTCACCACACAGTTCCAACTTCACTGCCAGCTAGTCACCCCACAGTTCCAACTTCATTGCCAACAAGTCACCCCACAGCACCAACTTCATTACCAACAGGTCACCCCACAGTTCCAACTTCATTACCAAGAGGTCTCCCCGCAGTTCCAACTTCATTACCAACAAGTCACCCCACAGTTCCAACTTCATTACCAACAAGTCACCCCACAGTTCCTACATTACTGCCAACAAGTCACCCCACAGTTCCAACCTTACTGCCAACAAGTCACCCCACAGTTCCAACCTTACTGCCAACAAGTCACCCCACAGTTCCAACTTCATTACCAACAAGTCACCCCACAGTTCCAACTTCATTACCAACAAAACACCCCACAGTTCCAACCTTACTGCCAACAAGTCACCCCACAATTCCAACCTTACTGCCAACAAGACACAGCCCAATTCCAACTTAGTAGCCAACAAGTCACCCCACAGTTCCAACTTCATAGCCAACAAGTCACCACACAGTTCCAACTTCATTGCAGGCTAGTCACCCCACAGTTCCAATTTCATTACCAACAAGTCACCCCACAGTTCCAACTTCATTGCCAACTAGTCACCCCACAGTTCCAACTTCATTACCAACAAGTCACCCCACAATTCCAACTTCATAACCAACAGGTCACCCCACAGTTCCAACTTCATTACCAACAGGTCACCCCGCAGTTCCAACTTCATTACCAACAAGTCACCCCACAGTTCCAACTTCATTACCAACAAGTCACCCCACAGTTCCAACATTACTGCCAACAAGTCACCCCACAGTTCCAACATTACTGCCAACAAGTCACCCCACAGTTCCAACCTTACTGCCAACAAGTCGCCCCACAGTTTCAACTTCATTACCAACAAGTCACCCCACAGTTCCAATATCACTGCTAATAAGTCACCCCACAGTTCCAACTTCATTACCAACAAGTCACCCCACAGTTCCAACATTACTGCCAACAAGTCACCCCACAGTTCCAACCTTACTGCCAACAAGTCACCCCGCAGTTCCAACCTTACTTCCAACAAGTCGTCTCACAGTTCCAACTTCATTACCAAAAAGTCACCCCACAGTTCCAATATCACTGCTAATAAGTCACCCCACAGTTACAACTTCACTGCCAACAAGTCACCCCACAGTTACAACGTCACTGCCAACAAGTCACCCCACAGTTACAACGTCACTGCCAACAAGTCACCCCACAGTTCCAACTTCACTGCCAATTAGTCACAGCACAGTTACAACTTCATTACCAACAAGTCACAGGACAGTTCCAACTTCATTGCCAACAAGTCACCCCACAGTTCAAACTTCATAGCCAACAAGTCACAGCACAGTTCCAACCTTACTGCCAACAAGTCACCCCACAGTTCCAACTTCATTACCAACAAGTCACCCCACAGTTCCAACTTCATTACCAACAAGTCACCCCACAGTTCCAACCTTACTGCCAACAAGTCACCCCACAATTCCAACCTTACTGCCAACAAGACACAGCATAATTCCAACTTAGTAGCCAACAAGTCACCCCACAGTTCCAACTTCATAGCCAACAAGTCACCACACAGTTCCAACTTCATTGCAGGCTAGTCACCCCACAGTTCCAATTTCATTACCAACAAGTCACCCCACAGTTCCAACTTCATTGCCAACTAGTCACCCCACAGTTCCAACTTCATTACCAACAAGTCACCCCACAATTCCAACTTCATAACCAACAGGTCACCCCACAGTTCCAACTTCATTACCAACAGGTCACCCCGCAGTTCCAACTTCATTACCAACAAGTCACCCCACAGTTCCAACTTCATTACCAACAAGTCACCCCACAGTTCCAACATTACTGCCAACAAGTCACCCCACAGTTCCAACATTACTGCCAACAAGTCACCCCACAGTTCCAACCTTACTGCCAACAAGTCGCCCCACAGTTTCAACTTCATTACCAACAAGTCACCCCACAGTTCCAATATCACTGCTAATAAGTCACCCCACAGTTCCAACTTCATTACCAACAAGTCACCCCACAGTTCCAACATTACTGCCAACAAGTCACCCCACAGTTCCAACCTTACTGCCAACAAGTCACCCCGCAGTTCCAACCTTACTGCCAACAAGTCGTCCCACAGTTCCAACTTCATTACCAAAAAGTCACCCCACAGTTCCAATATCACTGCTAATAAGTCACCCCACAGTTACAACTTCACTGCCAACAAGTCACCCCACAGTTACAACGTCACTGCCAACAAGTCACCCCACAGTTACAACGTCACTGCCAACAAGTCACCCCACAGTTCCAACTTCACTGCCAATTAGTCACAGCACAGTTACAACTTCATTACCAACAAGTCACAGGACAGTTCCAACTTCATTGCCAACAAGTCACCCCACAGTTCAAACTTCATAGCCAACAAGTCACAGCACAGTTCCAACTTTACTGTCAACAAGTCACCACACAGTTCCAACTTCATTGTCATTAAGTCACCACACAGTTCCAACTTCACTGCCAGCTAGTCACCCCACAGTTCCAACTTCATTGCCAACAAGTCACCACACAGTTCCAACTTCATTGCCAACTAGTCACCCCACAGTTCCAACTTCATTACCAACAAGTCACCCCACAGTTCCAACTTCATTACCAACAAGTCACCCCACAGTTCCAACTTCATTACCAACAAGTCACCCCACAGTTACAACTTCATTACCAACAAGTCACCCCACAGTTACAACTTCATTACCAACAAGTCACCCCACAGTTCCAACCTAACTGCCAACAAGTCACCCCACAGTTCCAACCTTACTGCCAACAAGTCACCCCACAATTCCAACCTTACTGCCAACAAGTCATCCCACAGTTCCAACCTTACTGACAACAAGTCACCCCACAGTTCCAACTTTATTACCAACAAGTCACCCCACAGTTCCAACTTCATTACCAACAAGTCACCCCACAGTTCCAATATCACTGCCAACAAGTCACCCCACAGTTCCAACTTCACTGCCAACAAGTCACACCACTGTTACAACTTCACTGCCAACAAGTCACCCCACAGTTACAACTTCACTGCTAACAAGTCACCCCACAGTTACAACTTCACTGCCAACAAGTCACCTCACAGTTCCAACTTCACTGCCAACAAGTCACCCCACAGTTCCAGCTTCATTACCAACCAGTCACCCCACAGTTCCAACTTCATTACCAACAAGTCACCCCACAGTTTCATAGTTGCCCTGATCCTGTGCAAACATACATGTGCATTAAATGCATTAGGCAGTAGTCAGAAGTGCCCACACAAATAGTCTGACAGTTGAAATGCATTTCATCGTTGAAGAATAAGAATATGATTACTTCAATTTCTTCTTTTCTCTACTCCTGGAATGCCTCAAGGCATCAGGGCAGGAAGAGATCTGTGGTGCCATGTCTGATGCCAATCTTGTTACATGGCCAAACCATTTGATTTACTGTCTACCTATAAAGTTCAGCACAGGTTCTGTACCGACTCTCCTACTGATATAATCATTTCTAAGTCGATCTTTCCTTATTAACCTAGCATAGTATGTATAGTTACTTCCACTTACTTCACCAAATGGATTGTAAAACTGCACGACATTGACATCCTTGTCTTGTTCCATGGTCTGCTGGGATCCAGCAATTGCTAAAATAGACCCAGTATGGTTCCAGGCAACCTGAGCTATCTGCATGCCAGTGTTCAGCAGAACTGGATCTGAAAGTTAAAGTTTGCTGGATGTTATGTTAATTAAACTCTGCCTAACCTAGGGCCCAATGTGAACATCTTGCAAACACTAGTGTTAGGGCATATGTATCACTGTTGTTGGGGTTCTCTGTCAGGGGTGTCAAAACCTGAGGGCTTGAGCCCTCTTGAGTGTTTTCTTTGTGTCAGTGTCCATAATCTCTGTCGTTAAGTGGTTAACTCTTTCAGTCCCATGAAGCTGTTGCTTAAAGTTATTCTATCTGAAGACAGAGTGAGTAAAGTAAAGTAAAGGACCCTTTTTCACACCTTCTGGCATATGGGCATATAGGGCTAGACCTGTATTTTTTAAACCAGTTAGCACTTGGTGGGTGATGTTGTTGTTGTTCGCATTCACCAGCTGTAAACCCTGGTTTGAAAGACCTGGTTGTCCGTCCGTTCCTGGACTTTGGCTCTGTTCTAGGTCCTGAGTTTTACGTGTGCATCCATTTTACAGATCTTGCTTATTTACTTAGCGAGTGATATGGTTAGCATCATGCCGGCTGCCTTTACTTCCCAGGACTGCAACCGGTATCCACTTTTTGAAAAATGTCCGGCTCCATCAGACCTAAACCCAAGACCTTCTGATCCGAGACAAGATCCGAAGACACAGATACGTAATTATTTTAAACTAATTAACATTGCATCTGATGGAAATCCCATAATAACCTTATTGAACAGAAACAATGAACATAACAATGTTGCTAGGATAGGTTAATTTAACAAGAAGATGAGCACTGGAATAAAGAAGAAACCTTTCTTGCAGCAAACTGCAAAAACAAACAAAAACAAAAACAAAAAAAAGTGTTTCTTAAGGCTGAAAGAGTTAAGCTATTTGTAACCCACTCTAAAAATTTTGGGTTCATTTTTAGATTCCATCCTTTGGTTTGCGAGATTTCAGAGATTCCTAGGGGTCATCACTGTAGCTCTAGCCACAACGCAATTCTCAGTTGAAAAACAGTTGCTCTGCAGAGAAAGACTGAGCCAGATGAAATAAGTCCTGGTGCAATTACATTAATTTATCATCTGTTAAAATCATTGTTGTTGTTGCTGTTGTTGTTGTTGTTGTTGTTGTTGTTGTTGTTGTTGCTGGCAGGCTTTTTGATTCAGGATGTCCAGGAAGTTTAATATGGGCAATAAATGCCTGAAGAAATCAGACGCATTGACTAAAAGGGGCAAATATCACGGCCATCTTTTAGATGGGCATAACGCAGTTACGTTCTGGGATGAACAAAGAACGAGATTCAGTTGTGAACTATGTAAATTTTTACCCCCCAAATTTTTAAAAATAAGGATTACATGATTCTTGACAATGTGGACCTAGACTTCCGTTACAATGTATCAGAGGAGAAAGTTCACACAAACATCATTTGATGCACTTATTTTATCTCTCTATGCCACATAAAACCACTATGCACGGGCACTGCCCTCAGAGAAAGAGACTGCAAAATACTTATTTTTATGCAATTTATGCAAAGAATATTTGAGAAAGTTGGAGAAGAAAAGCAAAAAGACAACAGTTTAGCACTGAGGCATGGAATAACATCTATATCAGGCATGAATGACAGTAAATGAGACAGAAGGCTGTGGACAGACATGATTACCAATGCCAAACATCATGAACTATAACAGTAGTCGCCAACAATTTTAGGTTTGATCACTACTTTTTCAGAAATCACTTGTGGCCGACTTTACAGACTATAACAACAATAAGGACAATGTTTAAAAACTTTTTAAAATATGGTTTTATTTAAAAAGCATAGAAAATTAATGCATTAAAAGGACACAGATAATGTATCGTATAATTAATAGACACAAGAGATTACCAGCTGAATCAAACGTATACAAATAATGGCTTTCACTTTTGACAAGTCGAGCTGCGCATAAAATATTGTCAGTTTAGACTTTCAAGACGATGGTGTTGGTCACTGCTGTGAATTCTGAACATTTAGGTCCAACTTGCGATGAGGATGATCAGTCAGTTAACTTCCTATACTTTCAGTTAGGCACCCTATGCATTTATTAGTTTTAATGAAAAAATTTGTGACGGATTATATAAAAATAATAATTTACACTCGGATACAAATATAGAAACAATAACAAACTTAATAAAAGCTTACAAAAACAATTGTCAGTACAGAAAAAATTACCAAGAACACAGACGGCTACATCTCAAGAGGCATTTAGTCCCCCATGGATTATAAGAAGAAGTAAAGTAAAGAAAGTAAAGGACCCTTTTCACGTCATTAGGCGTATAGGGCATATAGGGCTAGACCTAAATTTTTATAGACCAATTGGCACAAGATGGGTGATGTGGTCAGGATCACACAGCCGCCTTTTCTTTCCTGGACTGCACCCGGTACCCACTTAAGGCTGGGTGGACATGGAAGGCAAAGTCATTTTTGAAAAAAATCTGACTCCTCAAGGGAGCGAACCCACGACCTTCCGATCCACGGCGGGCGTCTAGCCGCTCAGCCAAGGCGAATCCCATAAGAAGAAGAACACTACACAATAATCACTTACCCTCATCACCCTCATTCTTCATGATCTGACACCTCCCATTGTCATAGCACAAAGCCAGTGATGGACAGTTTGGCTCAAGGTAGCCATTGAGACCATTGTACCACTCCAGTCCAGAAATATGGATTGCCCCAGTAACATTGGCCAGGCAGTAGACTTTCATCTTGTTCTGTAATACAAGGTAAATAAACCAGATGGTACCGGTCACAATCTGGTTAAAAGTCTGTCTTGCCTTTCCTCTGAGTATAGTTAGCCGGCCAGACCCTCTGGTTACACCCAGGTGCCTCATTCTCTCCAGGTCATAATAATCTTCTTTCTCTATTGATTCCGTTGCTTGTTCCCAAAGGGCCTTGACCACATCTGCCCTGTCATGTATCAATTCACCACCCTGTGGTGTGGATCCAGCCAATCTGTCTGCCTGTTCATTATCCACCACACCGGCATGGCCTGGAGAAAAGATCCAAAGAATGCTCACCACCCGTGACCTTTCCAGTGAAGCTTGCCACTCTGCTCGAAGCATCCTTTTATGCCCCTAAAAGGAGGAGCAGCTGGCTGAATGATTGAGAAAGCAGACCTTTCATGAAGGAGACCCGGTTCAAATCCTTAGTAAGGTTGAGGATTTCTATTTATCTTGGGGGGTGGGGGGGGGGGGGGGCAAAATCCAAATCTTAACCCTCACAGTCAATGTCAATAGGACCAGCCATGTGGCTGTAAATCCTCAGGCTTGAAGATCCCCATGTCTACACAGCAAAAGTGGTAATTCAGGCGGTAATGGCAGCTTTTAAGCCAGTGAAGCATTGGTATATGGTGCTAGACTCAAATTGTTATAGCCACTCGCACTCTGTGGGTGATATGACTGTCTTTACTTCCAAGGACATTACCTGGTACCCATTTTAGGCAGAGTTGACCTGGTAGCGTGGTCAATTCGGAGCAAAATTCAATTTCATGAGGATTCAAACCCAAGACCTTCAGGCTAGCAAGTGAGCATCTAGACAAGTGGTTTTTTTCAACCTGGAGGGTGTGCTCCCCTCCATAATGGGGAGGAGGGGGGGGGGGAAGAAAGAGTCAAAAGGGGTGCCAAGCAATTATGAAATTGAGTGCATTTGTACATGTTATAATCTGTTATACTAACATTTTCTTTTTCCCCATTATTTCTTGATGCCTTGTCCAACACCAGACCAAAAAAAGCAGATATCATCAAGACAAAACAGAACAGCATCAACCCTCACACTGACATTAGGACACTAAACTATCAGTTGTTGATTACTGTTTCCTGTTTATGTTATTTGACAGTAGGATTTATGTGGGCATTATTCTCCAAGTTCTTCTTAATAGAATCAAGGTTCTAACACATAGTTTAGGAATTTACCAAAGAATCAGCGCTCTAACAAACATCTAGTTTAGTAGTTTTTCCAATTATCAACACTATAACAAACAGCTGGTTTAGGAGTTTCCCCAATAATCAACACTCTAAGAAACAGCTGGTTTAGGAATTTCCCCAATAATCAATACTATAACAAACAGTTGGTTTAGGAAATTCCCCAATAATCAACACTATAACAAACAGTTGGTTTAGGAGTTTCCCAATTAATCAAAACCCTAACAAACAGCTGGTTTAGGAATTTCCCCAATAACCAACACTATAACAAACATTTTGGTTTAGGAGTTTCCCCAATAATCAAAACTCTAACAAACAGTTGGTTTAGGAGATTCCCTAAGAATTAAGGCTCTCCAACAAAAAACAAATGTTTAAGGCAATGGCATCTTGTCACAGCACTGTCGCATCAACCAAATGGTGCAAGATTCACATTATTATAGATTAAACAGCTCAATGAATAATGTGACCAGCATCATGCTGGCCACCTGGACTTCCCAGGACATTTCCTGGTACCCATTTGAGATTAGGTCATACTTTGGCCCAAGCCAATTATTTTTTAAAAATTGGTCCTAATGTGGATTTAAACCCAGCATATTTTTAGTGGCAAGCTTTTTGCCACCGCACTACAGTGGCTTCAGTCAATACTCTGCAAAAGAAATATCTTTTTTTTTCTGTGTATAAGGCGCCCGCACTATTTATTGAGACCAAAAATCTGACTTGATTTGATTCAAGAACCGACATCACAGCAATCGGGGTATTCCCAGAAGCACTCTGTCCCCATCTACAGCAGCCAGCAAAGAGTTTAGATACAAATGGTGCCAGTAGTATTCTGACTAAACGTCCGTCTTGCCTTTCCTCTGAGCCTCGAGCATTTGCCAGAACCTCTCGTCACTTCCCCCTGCATCAATCTCACCAGACTGTGCTGATCCATCTGCTCCTCCGAACTGTACATGCTTTCCCACAAGGCACTAACCACATCTGCCTTATCATGTATCAGTACTCCACCAAGCTGTGCAAAACCAGCCAGTCTGTCCATCTATTCATCTCCCAACACACCGGCATTCACCAGTGAAAAAATCCAGACAATACACCTCACTCGTGTCCTCCGCAGCGAAGCATGCCACTCTGCACGAAGCATGCCTGTCCTGATCTTCCTCAGCATGCTTTCTGAGTCAGTTACAATCACAATTAGACCAAAATTAAGAAATAAATAGTTTAAACATATTCTGTTTTTAAGACAACCCCCAATTATGAGCACAGGTTCTAGAAGATATTTTTTTTAACCCTGAGGGGGGAATATAGGCAGACTTTTGCAGCTGATACTGTTAGCATGTCAACTCTTCATTGGCTACTGAGGAATCAGATGGAGCACGTGTGGAAAGCTTCTGTGTGCACTGATGTTAAGTTTTAATTCATTCATTCATTCAGGACAACAACAAAATTTAATATTACATAACTCACAATGAAATTTCCAACATTATCAAATATTTGCACTTCTCCATTAGCGATTCCAAACAGGATTTTCTTGGCATCTGGAGACCACTGTAAAGGTTTATGTAAATTTGTTATGAAAGATTTTCAAAATATGCGTTCATGCACAAGAATGTCATAAGTGTTAAGCATATAACATCACGGTTCAGACGAATACAATGACATGATAATGACATTTTAAAGCTTTCTCCCCCACTTCTGACATGCATCAAAGAGGATCAGCGCTTTGTTGTCAGGTTTTTTTAATCAGTGAAGGATTTAAACCTATAGAAATTCATCATGTTAGTGACAGGACTGGTGATAGTAAGTTCTATCACACTTAAGGGTTTTCAGTTGAAGCCCCACTGTATTTTCTAAAATAGTCTAGGTAAGACAGGTTATAAGTAAGTACCGTAATTATGCATGTATAGGCCGCACTTGTTTCTGAGATGATCATTTTATGAGCAAATTTATTTTCTCAGAATTCTGTCGACAGACCAAACCTGAAACCGTAATACCTGTAAGCTGTGAAAGATTGGCTGCGTTAAGAACAACTGACAGTCGCAAATTTAAGATGCAAATGGTGTGTTATGCCAACTATTTTTGGTTAAAATACTGTGGCCTATACACATATAAAAACGGTAAACTGGCCACTCCATCTCATGTGTCAGGGTCTAGATTGTGTGCTGAAGCTATTAGTTACCACCTCAACAGTAGTTCTTCTTCTTCTGTTTATGCTGCTGCTTCTTCTTCTTTTTCTTCTTCTTCTTCTTTTTCTTTTTCTGTTGCTTCTTGCTACTGTTACTAAGCATGCCCATTCTGTCTTAATGTGCCTTTGAACTTATTATACTGGTGTGTTAGACTGTGTTAAGAACATACATAATATCACTCCATAATATCCTATTCTGATCCGCTGGATTGCTGCGGTCCTGTTCCAGTGGAAGATAGTACTCAGATGTGGTTGCTGGTTCTCAGAACCGCAAACGATATGTCCAGGCTTGCCACAGGGATCACCGCTATCACCAGTCTTATTCAACGTGTTTACGGTGATGATCACTGAGCAGCAGTTGAATAGAAAGGGAAGGACTTTGTCATTTGCTGATGACATTTTGATTTATCCACGAGGGCGTGATAGACAGGAGATTGCCAGCACAATGCACAAAGAACTCAATCGAATTGCCGCCTGGTGTGATGGTTCAAATGCCTATGTCAATCCTTCAAAGGCATCAGTGTCATGGTTCTCTTTGAACAATCACATTGTCAAGTCGGACTTACCAGAAGTGAAAATGCGTGAAAATGTATTGATCAGAACCAACGTTATGACGTTTCTCGGGGTGAGGTTTGATCGCTGCTTGTCATTCAGGGAACACGTTGACCATGTGATAACAAAAGCACGCAAAGGTCTATCTGCAGTGAGGATTATGGCTGCTTCCAACATTGAGCAAAGACTACTAATACTTCTATTCTACGGTCTGGTCCTTTCCCCCATTGAATACGCTCTGGCCATCCTCACTGTCAGTGCTACCCAGATTGAACGACTCGAAAAGGTGCAAAATGAAGCCGTGCGCATTATTTTGGGATGTACAAGAGACACATCCTGTGGAGCAATGAGGTATCTACTTGACTTTCCAACAATGAACCAAAGGATCAGGATGTGGAGGGCTCGCGCATACCTTAAAATATGTCCTGATAAGAAACACCCACTCCATCAAGCGCTTTTTAGTGAAAAGGGCGACAGACTGAAGAGGGGGAAATTGTGGCTAGGTCGGGCAGAAGATGTTATTAGGCAAATATGCAGCCTAACCGACATCATACCTGGTGCAGAGTGGATACCTGTGCCTCATGCGTTTATTTGTACATTTTCCTGTATTATCACACTCGCCAGGCAATGTAGAGAAGAGAATCCTGTTGCTGTTAATGCAGAGGTCAACGCTCTCATCAGTAAAAATTCAGACGAAGCAAATGCACTAATCTACACAGACGGATCCATTATACGCCAGAAAAGAAGCGCATAGGCATTTACAGCACGCTCAGCGGGCAGAACAGTCAAAGAAGCAAACAGCACCTTCTCCATGACAACCAGCAGCATGACGATGGAGGTGATGGCAGTGACGCAAGCCTTTGCCTGGCTTGAAACACAAAAATACACCCACGTATGTATACTCAGTGATTCAATGAGTATGATCCGGAGAGTTCAGGCAGGTTCGGTGCGAAGACAATGGCTTGAATCATTACAGAAGTCCACTGTGCGTGGAGTCACCTTTATTTTTGTTCCGGGACACGCAGGCGTCAATGAAAATGAAAGAGCTGACAGGTTGGCTGGATCCGCTATCACTACCGACGGTCAGCCTATGGATCATGCTGATATTATTAATGCCCTCAGAGAAATGGGAAGGATAGAGGACTTTGGTGGCAGTGAATCCAAATCATTCGCCAGAATGGCAGACTTGGGAATTAAGATCGGCATAGCAAAAAACGAGACGCACACCAGACACGCCAGAAGACTTGTTAATCAACATAGAACTGGTACTATTAGCCATCGGACGTTGGGGTTTATCTGGAGGGGAGGATCTGAACACCTATGGACATGCCCGGAGTGCAATGATGATAACCCAACTAACTAACTAACTCCATTCTTACCTTCAGCAGCCAGATAAAAGCTCCAATGCCTCTAGTACCAGTAGTAGTTTGATTATATGTCCATCTTGCCTTTCCTCTGAGTGTAGAGTGTCAGCCAGATACTTGTTCACCGCCAACCCCAACCCTCTCGCTGTGTCATTCTTTCCTCGCTGTAATGATCTACTTATGCTTTCCCATTCTTCATTTGCTTCCAAAGGGCCTTGACCACATCTAGCTTGCCATGCATCAATTCACCACCCAGTGAAACAGAATCAACCAATCTGCTTAAACTGTAGTGTTAGATCCATTTAGGCATAACAAATATTTAGTTAAAGTAATCTCTGCCTTAGACTGTAGTGTTAGATCCATTCAGGCATAACAAATATTTAGTTAATGTAATCTCTGCCTTAGACTGAAACAGTTAATATAACAACTTAAAAGGGACAGTAAAACCCAAATTTTCAGTCAAAGAAATGTTTACATCTCATTACATGTAATCAGTGTTACATAACTGACCTCAACAGCAGCAAGTTGCAGTCCCTTGAGTTCCTTACCCCAGATTCTATTGCCATCCAGTGATCCCACAATGACGGCACCTGTAGAGTAATACATACTTATGAACAGTGAAACAGGCAATGACAATGAAAATTAGAAACAGAAAGAAAAAACGCATGCACACACACATATATATAGGAAGCCACCGTTGTGTAGCGGATAGATGCTAGCCTGGTGATCTGAAGGTAGTGGGTTCAGGTCTTGACGGAGCTGCCCTTTTTTTAAAAATGACCTGATTTCAAGGTCGACCCAGCCTCAAATTCGTACCAGATAAAGTCCTGGGAAGTAAAGGTGGCCGGTGTGATTCTGACCTCACTGTTCATTGTTCATTTAAAGATCATCTTCATCGCACATAACACATGACCATAAGTGCTCCAATCTCCTCCTGAGTATGTCTCCAAGGGTTTTTAGGCTAATAACTCCCATTCTGTTGTGGTTGATTTAACAACAATAGGCTCCCGTTTGGTTTTCCGGTCTCGTTGCTCCAACTAGTAAACCCAGGGTATGCAGTCTTTTAAGTAAAAAATCATTTTCCACGAAGCTGAAAGCCTCACAGCGTTTAGTCTCTTGTATGGCACTGATGATGTCTCTCATGTCCATAGATGGCCCATTCCTGATGGTCAAACTGAAAGCCAGGGCATCTGCTCTATCACTGCCTTTCACATCAGCATAACCTGGGACAAAAATGAAGGCCATTTTGCGAAATGCTGTATGTTATACATCATAAACAAAAGAATCAAAAACAACACTGACAAATAAACTAAATTTTCTTTCACTTCTTGTTTTTTAAAAAACATTTTCAAAATTTACAAGTTACATCTTTTGCTAGTTCAATGCCAGGTTTAACTCATTTGAGAACCACATATTTCAGAAATAACGTAAATATTTACAATTGCTCCCATCCTTTAATTAAACAAATTAAGGTGGCTGCTTACCATCTTCGTACACAATGCATATCTTCTGTCCATCAGACGTCCATTTCATGCCTTTAACAACAGATTTATTTCTGTTGTTGATCATTTCTTCATACCAAGAACCTGTTACAATTAATAAAACATTTAGTGGATTACATGATACAAAGATGTGTGCAAGCTGGGCATGAATGATACAGGTAATGAGATGGACTTGTGGAAACACAAGGCCATGGACCGTGCTGTGTAGAAGGGACACATCGGGAAGGAAATGAGAATTAAGGAAGAAATGACTGCAGAAAGGATGAGAGCTGAGTGTCTAAGAAGAAACAGACTAAACACAAATGTTGGCTATAATTGTGGAAGACTTTTTTTAATGAGGGCAGGTCTTGCTAGCCATACTCGCCATCTCCATGGGCTGTGAGTCTCATGCCTCCTCATAAATTAAAAAAATAATAGCAGAAGGCATGGTACCAAGAAGGAGTGGCCGGGGCCGACCAGCACGAAGATGGGCACAATATATTAGTGACTCGTTTAATATGAAACTACTCGAGGTCTGTGTTTTTGTCATAATTTTACCATGTGACCAAGCCAACCAGGTATTTATCGATTTGTCATCCCCTATGAAATTTGCCAGCTGTCATTAAGCTTTAAAATTTCTCTTCCATAACATATGCAACAAATATTGTTGTTTGTGTCTAAATTTTTTAATCAGTTTAAAGTTGTCATCAGTTCATGGAAAATTGCCTTAGCCTCAGTCGTTTTTCAGGCTCTGGTTGTGAACAGTCTGTCACAAAAGTCATGCAGTTTTGAAACTTCTTACTCCACTCATACACTTGCAGAACTGACAGGCATGCATCTTCATACTGGACCTTCATTCACCCAAGAATTTCTATAGTTTTCACACCTTGACTGATGAATTTCTATAGTTTTCACACATTCATTGATGAATTTCTAGTTTTCACACCTTCACTGATGAATTTCAGTGCTACGCACCTACGAACAACGACACCGACAGCATCAAAGATAATTTCTACGACCTCCTGGTTGGTGTCATAAACAAAACTCCTAAGCACGACCTCCTTATTGTAATGGGCGATTTTAATGCCAAGTTAGGGTCTGACAACAAAGGTGTTCAAAAATATATGGGAGTACACAGCCCAGGAGATATGAATCAAAACGGAGAGAGGCTAATTGAACTCTGTGAAATAGCAAATCTAACAGTAGCAAGCTCCTTATTTCCGCACAAAGACTTACATAAAATAACCTGGATTTCGCCAGATAACCTAACAAAAAACCAGATAGATCATTTTTGCATCAGCGCCAAATTCCGTACATCAGTGCAAGACGTTAGAGCCTACAGGGGAGCTGATATTGGCAGTGATCACAATCTTTGTATTGCCAAACTAAAAATTAAACTCAAGTCTCTACTTAAACCACCCAGAATTAAGAAAATAAACTTACAAGCCCTTTTGTCAAAAGATCATCAAAGCGCATTTAATGCAGAGATACTCACCACCTATGAAACCAAAACTAGTAATGCGGATACTACAAATAACATAGACAAAAACTGGGACTTTTTCAAGAACACACTGACGAACGCTGCAGTAAACACAGTTGGTTATGTACAAAAGCAGAAAAAGAAGTGGCTAAGCGACAACACTTGGTCAAAAATCCAAGAAAGGAAACAAGCAAAATTAACACTTTTATCTAAAAAAGACACATCTTCATACGAAAAATAAAGAACGCTAGACAAAGAAGTGAAGACAAACAGAACTTCATACACGACCTCGCCTCCAATGCTGAAACAGCTGCCAAGATTGGAAACAACAAAGCCGTATTCCATATTATGAAACAACTGTGCAATCACTCACCTACACTAAATACACCCATTAAAGACAAGCAGGGTAAACTACTGCTATCCGACGACCAACAAACAAAGCGATGGGCAGAACATTTCAAGGAAATATTAAATAGACCAAATCCTGACATCATTCCCAATCTAGAAGAAGAAATTATTACACCGACACTAGTTGCCTCCAGCGAGTCATTCACAATAGAGGAGATTAAAACAGCTATTAAAAAATTAAGAATAAACAAAGCTACCGGAGAGGACAACATCTCAGGGGAAATGCTCAAAGCAGCGGATGAAAACACCCTGCAACATTTGCTCCAGCTGATGGATGAAGTCTGGCAAAACGAATACCCACCACAACAATGGAAAGATGGTGTAATCTTCAAATTACCTAAAAAAGGTGATTTATCCGATTGTAACAACTGGAGAGGCATCACCCTGCTTTCAATACCAGGGAAACTATTTTGTAGTATGCTACTAGAAAGATTGAAAAAATCCATAGATGAAAGATTAAGGGAAGAACAAGCCGGTTTTAGATCCAAGCGGTCATGCATAGACCACATCTTTACTCTTAGAATAATTGTTGAAGATTCTACAGAATTCCAGTCGAAATTATTGATCAACTTTGTCGACTTCCAAAAAGCCTTCGACAGTATCCATCGTCCAACACTCTGGAAATTGCTTAACATCTATGGTTTCCCCATCAAATATATCAACATCATAAAATCTCTTTATAATGAAACACGATGCTGTGTAAGAGCTGATTCCGGAAATTCTGACTGGTTCCCGGTGGAAACAGGAGTGAAGCAAGGCTGTGTCCTATCGCCGATGCTTTTTGGTTTAGCAATCGACTGGGTCATGCGCAAGTGCATAAATAACGCAAATTTAGGCATTACATGGGTTGACAAAATTCTGGAAGACCTAGACTTCGCCGACGACATAGCACTCCTGAGTTCAGAACACACAGACGCCCAAGAAAAAATCAACCGACTCCAAAATTTCTCAGAACAAATTGGACTCCAAATTAACAACGCAAAAACAAAAATTCTAGACCTTACCAACAGTTCAGTTGATATCACGCTGAACAACAACAGCCTTGAAAAAGTCAACAGTTTCACTTATCTAGGGAGCAAGATGTCATCTACAGGAGATACCGCACCAGAAATACCATTTAGAATAGCACTGGCATCTAGTGCCTTCAATAAACTGTCCAACATCTGGAAATCAAAGACACTTAGCAAACACACAAAACTCAAGATCTTCAATTCTTGTGTGATTCCAGTACTAACCTATGGATGCGAGAGCTGGAAATCAACGAAAATTCTTAGACACAAAATTAGACAGTTTTGAAAATAAATGCCTTAGAAGAATACTAAATTTCAAATGGTCAGATTTCCGAACCAATACACAAATAAGGCAAGAATCCAGGCAAGAGTATGTGTCTAATTTTATACGAAAACGCCGCTGGAACTATGTCGGCCACGCCCTTAGAATGAATAAATCAAGACTTCCTTACCAAGCCCTCATTTGGACACCACAGGGGAAAAGATCTCGTGGAAGACCAAGGGAAACCCTACGTAGAACTATCATCAGGGAAGGCTCACTCATGGGCCACTCAAACATTCAAGACCTACAACAGATTGCAACGAACCGCCATGCATGGAGAGTCATGACCTCTGCCCTATGTGCCGCACTCGACACAAGAGGAAAGACTAACTAACTAACTAACTAACTGATGAATTTCTACAGTTTTCACACCTTCACTGATTTTTAAAAAAACTTTAAACAACAGAATGCTGTCCCTCTTTGGTACATGTCAACGGTGGGGTGGAAATCTTTAAACTGTCATTATGATGTCACTGTGTTAATCTGCACCTGAATGTCATGTGTTTTTAAGGTTTTCATTTAGGCCCCTCATATTTAAAAAAAATATAATTTCATTTATTAGTGACCTATGTGACAAAAGGTTGCCTTTTTTTTGGATTATTTTTCAGCAATTCTTACTTTTTTTTTTTTTTTTTTTTACTTTTCCAGGGTTGATCCTGATGTATACAATTTATTCATGCAAAGTCAGCAGATTAAACAAACAATACGTGGAAGCTGCAGAGATGTTACTTTAAAAAAAAGAATGATGGCAACATCACTGACAAATAAAAATTTCATAAAGACTAAGTGACAATGAGAACTGATTATGCACTCAGAACTTGATAAGCCACATTCAATGGGCATATCAGAAGAAGTAAAAATGGAAAGATGGAGGTGAATAGAGGTAGAAGGAGATAAAGAGAGATCATTTTAGATAGTTTGGCATGATGACATCAAAAAAGATTGGTATACGAAATGACTGATGATACACGAGACAGAATGATGTGGAGATAAATTTGTATCAACACTGCATGGCATTAACTATTAGAAGTTATGTTTTGTTCTGAGGTAAAGTCACTCTGTGGCTTAAAGATTAATGACTGTGTTTCACAACTTCATGATCTATAATGTACCAGGGTTTGATTCCCACTGTAGAAGGTTCATTTTCTATCAACTTTTCATGGTTTTCAGACAGTGGTATGAAAGTTGCACTGTGAAAGGGACTGTGGCCTCACCAAGTAATACTTCCAGGAGTGGGTGTACTCCAGCCAACCTTCATTATGGACATAGCACACACTTTGGTACTTTGTTGGTACTTATGGTCAAAATGGAGGATAGACTCGTTCACTCTTTTTTAGTTGTGGCAAATTTTTGCTTCTGACAATATGCAGCAGTTGAATTTTCCTAATTTGTAGACTGAGAGGATATGGTTTCATAATCCAAATAATGAGCTGAGTGCAAGGCAGCGACACAGTGAGCTGCAGATTTCAAGTGGAATGTTTTTCGACTGTGACAAACGTGGTGCTGTAAACTACAGATTCAGAAAATGGTAAGTGGCCTGTTGCCACAGAACTGGTTGTGCCTTATGAGATCAAAGATGTGTGAAACTAACCACTGATTTGTTTGTAATTGCTGCTTCCATCAATGATGAACAGCATTCCTAGGTCGGACTGTTTGCGTTAGCACTTCTGACGGCTGCCTTATGCTTTTAATACATGTGCATGTTAATGGACATGCTTAGACTGTGTCATTTTTCCTGGGGATACAAGGGACAGTGATGGACATTCTATGTGGTTTTTGTTGGCACAGGAACCGAGCAACTATGAGGCGACCCGTTTGCTATAAAGTTGAAACTGCAATTATCTGACAGTACACACTTTTTAATTTCATGAACCTTAAGCATAAG